ATACTTGCCTCTATTTGATCCAAACGCCATCCTCACTAATAACGAAAACAATCTAATAAAAAACTAACTCTAAAAAAACAAAAAAAAAATCCCTCCTCACCTCGCCATTACTCTCCCTCTTTCCTTCCCTCTTTCCCTCCCTCATTTCTCTCCTTCTCTCCCTCTTTCCCTCCCTCATTTCTCTCCTTCTCTCCTTCTCTCCCCTCCCTCTTTCTCTTCCTTATTCCTCTTCCTCTCTCCCTCTCTCTCCCTTCCCTCTTTCCCTCCCTCCTTCCTTCCCACTTTCCCTCCCTCATTCCTTCCCTCCCGCCCTCCCTCCCTCCCTCTCTCCCTCCTTCCCTCCCTCCCTCCTTCCCACTTTCCCTCCCTCCTTCCTTCCCTCACTCTCCCTCCCTCCCTCCCTCCCTCCCTCCTTCCCTCCCTCCCTCCTTCCCTCCCTCCCTCCTTCCCACTTTCCCTCCCTCATTCCTTCCCTCCCGCCCTCCCTCCCTCCCTCCCTCCCTCCCTCCCTCCCTCCCTCCCTCCTTCCCACTTTCCCTCCCTCCCTCCTTCCCTCACTCCCTCCCTCCTTCCCTTCCTCCCACCCTCCCTCCCTCCCTCCCTCCTTCCCACTTTCCCTCCCTCCTTCCCTCCCTCTCTCCCTCCTTCCCTCCCTCCCTCCTTCCCACTTTCCCTCCCTCCTTCCCTCCCTCACTCTCCCTCCCTCCCTCCCTCCCCAGGACCCCGCAACCGCTCGCAGATCCAAGTAGGCCCCGGTCTGAATCCCGAGGAGCTGGCGGCGGCGAGGGAAAGACGAGAGAAAGAACTCGCCATGCAGGACCTTCTGCTGGAGATCCTGGTGTACTTGATCTTCCTGTACTTGATCCTGTCCGTGAGCTACGGCGCCAGGGACCCCCACGTCTACTACATGAGGAGTAATGTGGAGAATATCTTCGTGAAAACTTCGTCCACTACCTGCCCGGCTTTCGAGAAGGTGAGGGGGTGGGTGAGGATGGGGTGGGGGGAAGGGGAGGGAGAGGGGGGAAGGAGGGAGGGGGGGAGGGAGGGAGTGAGGGATTGACGGAGGGAGGGAGGGAGAGAGAGTGAGAGAGAGAGAGAGAGAGAGAGAGAGAGAGAGAGAGAGAGAGAGAGAGAGAGAGAGAGAGAGAGAGAGAGAGAGAGAAAGAGAGAGAGAGAGAGAAAGAGACAGAGAAAGAGAAAGAGAAAGAGAAAGAGAAAGAGAAAGAGAGAAAGAGAGCAAGAGAGAGAAAGAGAAAGAGAGAAAGAGAGAGAGAAAGAGAGAGAGCGAGAGAGAGAAAGAAAGAAAAAGAGACCGAAACTGAAACAAAATAGAGAAAGATGAGAAATAATGAAAAGAATAAACAGAACAGCCAAAAAAAATCACTTACACGCCACAAAACACAGCACAGGTAAATCTTAACAGAGCAATGGACATTAGTGTTAAATGAATCCTGTAAATTATTATTAAATGATCTGTGGCGTGAAAAAAGGGAGGGGGAGGGGGGGAGGGGGTGAACACAGGGCTTCTGCGGGTAAATAAGGCATCATTAATAATATAGAGTTTGTTTTTTTTAACGCACAGATTATTAAAATGCGAGAGAGGTTTGCCTTTTTTTGTGAAATTTTCCATGAATAATTTATATACAGATATTTTGTGTTTTTTTAATGTAATTCGACTATTAAGGTTGCTACAATTATTATTACAACATTTATTGCTACCACTAATATTACTATTACTATAACTATTACTACTACTACTACCACCTACAACCCCTAACACTACTGTTGCTGCTACCACTACTACTACTACTACTACTACTACTACTACTACTACTACTACTACTATAACTACTACTACCATATCACCACCACCACTACCACTATTACTACTACTACTGCTACATATCTTATCAGTGTGACCTTTATAAAAGTAATGATAACGACAACCTCTCTATTTAACTCTCCCCCCTCACCTTACCTCTTGACCTTTGACCTTACCTTTTACCCCTCCCCATGACCTTACCTCCTCCTCCTCCACTTCACCTCCCTTTCCCCCCTCCCCTTCCTTCGTTGACCTTACCCCCTCCTCCCTTTGACCTTACCCCCTTCCCCCTTGACCTTCCCCTTCCCTCCCTCCCCTTTGACCTTCCCCCTTGACCTTACCTCTCCCTCCCTCCCCAGGCCGTCCTCGAGAGCCACCTGTGGTGCTGGGCGCGCGAGGTGTTGGTGCCCAGCCTGCTCGACACGCGGCTGTACACGGGGGAGCGGCGACCCCAGGACATGTGCGGGACGATAGCTGATCAGGTGACCTTCCTCCTGGGTCATGCGATCTTCCGGCAGATTCGTATCCGGCCAGGTAAGGTTGGGGAGTGTCTGGGGGGGGGGGAGTAGGATTTTTTTTTTTCGTTTTTTTCGTTTGTTTTTGTTTGTTTGAGTGTGGGTTCGTTGGATGGTTATTTTTTTTAGAAGGGTGGGGGAGGGTGTTTCTTCTCTCTGATTGTTTTTTTTTCTTGTTTGTTTTTTGCTTTTGCTTTTTCCTATTCTCCGTTTTTTTCTTCCTTCAGTTTCTCTTGTCTGTCATCTTCGTCTTTTGTAGTTTTTTGTTTAGGGTATTGTGTAACGTTCTTAAGTCGAATGATGTAAAGAAAATTTTCAAAAAATTATATTTTTGTTTTTAAGACGCAATTTTAGACTTTTTATAATGGGTTCATGTTTTTCTTTCTTTTTTTTCCTTTGGCCTTTTTGTAGTTATTTATTTTTGCTGGTATTTCCTCTTTTTATGTTGTTATTTTCCTTTTTTTCTCTTGTTCTCTTTCTTCTGTTTTTTCTCCTCTTCTTCCACCTCCTCCTTTCTCGCATTTATAAAGAAAAGCAAAACTGATCTTAAACATCTATAATACATTTTAAATCCTAATTTAGAATTCTTAATACCAAATGTTAGTCTTTATTGCAAATCTTGAATTTCGACGCCATTTTTCATTTCAAAAAAGGACAGAAGAAAGCTAAATCAAATAATAGCAGTGAGATAGCATGAAATTCGGTTCAGTAATTAATACGGGGTTAATTACTGAATAGTAATTAATACAGATCGTTAATTCCTGAAGAGTAACTCCTACCCCCCCCCTACCCCCCGCCAGGTTCTCCGAATCGCCACCCGGCCACGCACGAGAACAAAGAGGACGACCGTGACTTTGGCTTCGGCTGGAACGAGACCGCGCCCACGGAATCGCACTTCGATTACATGTCCGCCTTCAAGATCCACGGATTTCCTTACGAGGGCACCATCGATACGTGAGTTTGTGTCGTTATTGTTGTTATTGTTATTGCTATTATTAACCCAACCGCCCTAGATTTATTTTCTGTCCCCCTGTAGTTTTTTGTGAATGTTGTTACATACAGATGGCTCCACATGTGCTCAGCAGCAAGGACTCTATCAGTTGGCCCTAGTGACCGATCCTGACTTCCCCATTTCTTGGATTGGCGGGAAAAATGTTTGTTTTCTTATTAATACCAATGCTATCCATACTGTTATTATTGTTATTGATGTTATGGTTATTATATTGCCATTAAAATATTTTAGACAATGGAATGATATAAAAGACCCTGTCTAAAGTGGCTATTTGGTGATTAAGAACTTGTAGAGCCATCTATGTATAAATACAATAAATAAACTTGTGTTAATGTGGCATGTATTCTTGTCACATTAATATTATTGTTTTTATTATTGTTATTGTTGCTACTATTGTTATTATTATTACTACTACTGCTATTATTGTTTTTGTTGTTTTGTTATTATTATTATCACTGTTACTATTATTTTTGTAATTGTTATTATTATTATCATTATTATTACTATTATTATTGTTATCATTATTACGATTACCATTATTGTTACCATTGTTATTATTGTTATCATTGTTATTACCATTACTATTATCATTATGACTATTATTATTGTTAGTAATAATTACAATAAAAATATTACGTCATTAGTATCATCATTAATATGGTTGTTATTGTTATTGTTCTTTTTATTATTAGTGTTATTGTTATTATCATTATTATCATCATCATCATTAGTACAGTTGTTATATAAACAGATCTTGATTATATAAGATAAATTTCAAATCTTTTTACATTAACCTTCAGGTATGGCGGCGGAGGGTACTTGGTCGAGCTAAAAGGGCCTATGAGCCAAGCGGAGAGGACCGTGGACGAGATGGAGGCAGAGGGCTGGATAGATAAATACACGAAGGCGATTTTCACGGAATTTGCTGTTTACAATCCCCAGGTGAGAGTTTGTGAATGCTAAGTTTATGTTAGTTTTGGGATAATGTTGTTGTTTTTTTTGTAGGTGGTGTGTTATTTTGTTTATTTTTTCGATCTCTGTCTGTCTGTCTGTCTCTCTCTCTCTCTCTCTCTCTCTCTCTCTCTCTCTCTCTCTCTCTCTCTCTCTCTCTCTCTCTCCCTCTCTTTCCGTCTCTCTCCTTCCCCTTCCTTCTCCCTCTCCCTCAATCCCTTTCATCTCACCATTTCGTATCGTTATTGACGCCCCCCTGCCCCCTGCCCCTCCCCGCCACCGATTCACCCCTCCTCTCCCCCCTCCCCCAGGTGAACCTCTTCGCCGCCGTCATGTTCATCTTCGAGTTCCTCCCGAGCGGCGGCCTGGTCACCAAGTTCGAGTTCCAGGGCCTGACGCTCCTCCGCTACCATCGTCCCGGCGGCTTCTACGTGCTGGTATCCGAGATCGGCTACATCCTCTTCACGATCTTCTACACCAGGAGGGAGTACAAGGCCTACAAGAAAGCGGGCAGGGCGTACTTCAAGTCGGTGTGGACCTTCATGGAGATCTGCGTCCTCCTGCTGTCCTACGCCGCCATCGTCCTGTACCTCCTGAAGACGTCGCTCACCTACTACACGCTGGACAAGTTCATCGCGACGAAGGGCAAAAAGTACGTGCGCATCCAGCCCCTCGCCTTTCTGGACTCGACGCTCGTGTA